GAGAGAGAGAGAGAGAGAGAGAGAGAGAGAGAGAGAGAGAGAGAGAGAGAGAGAGAGAGAGAGAGATGGCAGTGGTGGAAATGGGAGAGGAGAACGATTGGGATGATACGTATTGGTTTCCAGATGACGTGTGGTTCGGTGTGCTGAGGCAGGTGGTGGACGAGAAAACGAGGAACTCGCTGTCGCTAGTGTCCAAGAAATTCTATCTTCTGGAGCGCAGTTCTCGGGCGTTCATTTCTCTTCCTTTCCTTAACTTGGAGGACGAAGCCATGGCTAGAGAGCTGCTCCGTAGGTACCCCAATTTGCGCCACGTGGCAGCTCGATTAAGTCGCACGAAGCGTCCAGGTCGGGGTCGCGTGCGCAATGATGGCGATCGACTGCTGCGTCTGCTTTCGTCATCTACCGGTTGCCGTCGTCTTCAGTGTCTGGAGATCTCTGTTTCGGACCTCAGGGTCGGTGGAGGTTCGTCGTTTGCTTCGTCTGTGAGCAGCGGAGGTGGCTGTGCCCCCTCCCCCCACTTTGCTACTGGATCCAAGTATATTTTTAACGAGGATATGGAGGCGGAACCGATACCGTCTAGTCGCAGCAAGCAGGTAGTTTTGAGGGCGCCATCGCTCGAAATTTTCTGCGACGCTTTTGGCGCCCACCTCCAAGCGGTCAATCTCTCCATGTGTGCGTTAGGTCCCGACGAGGTGGCCATTATCCTGCGCCGCTGCCAACGACTAGAGATAGCTTCATTATCGTGCAATGTGTCGGCATCTTCTTCGTCTTCCTCCTCCTTTTCTGTTGGGCATCCTCCTCAAGCTTCTGTCCCGGCGGGAAACCGCTCCTTCGATAATGGCCGACGCGACGACCATGGTGCTCAAGAAACGAGGGAGGAGGGTATGATGACGATGCAGAGAAGGAGATGGACCGCCGGCGGCGGCGGCGGCGGATTCTGCCCGCTGCCTACCCCCCGGCCGCCTTGTCTGCCTCCTCATCGACGACGGTTCGGTCCCGATCTCGACGTCCTGGCCACGTGCGTCAATCGCTCTCTCCGCCATCTCATTCTCCGCAGCTGCCATTCCGATCGGGTCGTGCTCGCTCTTGTCGACACGTGTCCAGATTTGCGCGCTCTGACCATCGACCGCTGTCCGCTTACGCTGATGTTCGATCTTGGCGGCGCGCCGTGCTTTAGGGAGGGCGGATCTCTTGAGGAACTGACGCTCTGTCGGCTGTATTCCGCGGACGTTGACGTCAACCGCACTTTCATGGAATGGAGGGGGGGATGGAACGTGGGGAGGGTGATGGAGCAGAGGGGGGAGGGAAGGGGGGAAGGCGGCGGAGGAGGGGGAGGGCCCGGGGAAGACGAGTGTTTGGAGGCGTTCGCCATGGGTATCTCCTCCTCCTCCTCCTCCTCTTCCTCCTCCTCCTCCTCCTCCTCCTCTCCTGACTCGTCTGCTGACGGTGGCTGCAATCTCCGTCGATTAACGATCCAGACAGACACTAAGGCACCCCACCAGGAGTCGGCATTCTCTGGTTCGGGGCTGATTGCGCTGGGTCGGGCTTTACCTCGGCTAGAATCGCTTACTCTCTCCTCTTACTGTGGGTTAAAAGACGATCAGATTGGAGCATTCATTGACACGTGTCCGTCTCTGAGGCGTTTGTCTCTGCACTCTCTCGCATTCTTTTCGCAGCGTTCGCCCCAGTTGGGATCGGGATCTGGGCGCGGCGAGCACGCAGCGCTGGGTGTTGGTCGCATTTGCTTGTCTTCGCTCGCGCGACGCGGAATGCGACGGCGTGCAGCGGACAACGAGCAGGACGAGGAGTACAAGGCGGAGGAGGAGGACGAGGAGGGGGAGGGGGAGGGGGAGGCGGGGACGAAGACGAATTTGAATTTGAATTTGACCCGCTCCTTATCTTCCCCCGCTCTCCCGCAGCTCCCCCCCACTCTCCTCCCCTCTTTTGCGCCGATCGAGGAGATTGACTTCATCCGATGTGGCAGTTTGTCGGGATGCGGCTTTGCAGAGGCAATGCGAGGTTGCGGACATTCTCTTCGTGTTCTTCGTCTTCAAGACTGTAATCTCGAAGCCGCGGCTATTACCGCCATAGCCCGTCATTGCAAGCTGTTGCGCACGTTGGATCTGCGCTATGAAGAGGGGATTCGATGGGGGGGGGTAGGGGCGATCTGCAGGGGTTGTCCGCTCCTCTGCGAGTTCCGTCTTTGGTTCTGCGGTGTCCTGTGTGATGAAGACTTAAGAGACATCGCTATGTGCGCGACGCAAGTGGTCGTCTTGGCTGTCATGGAATGCCCGCCCGTTGCCGCCGTCGGCCGCACGAAGATGCCCCCTCTGTCGACGGCGGGTGTGGAAACGCTGCTCGACAGAGGATCGTGTCCGAAGCTTGGGAGATTAGAAGTGGAAACGACTTTTGTGAGTGAGAGGGCGAGAGCCCTCGCACGCGAGAGAGGAGTCGACCTGAGGACTTTCAACGTCAGGGCCTGTGCCGAACCTGATTCCTGACCAAGTGAGGAACCTCAATCGTAACCAGTGTCGATCCTGATCGCTCTACGATGCTCCCTTTTTACTGAAGGCGGGTGTGGAAACGCTGCTGCTCGAGAGAGGATCACGTTCGAAGCTTGGGAGATCGGAAATGGAAACCACGTTGGTGAGCGAGAGGGCGAGAGGGCGAGATCGCTCGCACGCGAGAGAAGGAGTCGACCTAAGGAAACCACGTTGGTGAGCGAGAGGGCGAGACCTGAATCCTGACCAGTGTCGTCAACGTCAGGGCCTGTGCCGAACCTGATTCCTGACAAGTGCTGAACCAGGCTGATTCCTGACCAGTCCGGGACCTGAATCCTGACCAGTGTCGAACCTGGTCCATCGAAGATGCCCCCTCTATCGAAGGCGGGGTGTGGAAACTACTTTTCTAAATAAGAGAGAGAGGATCGTGTTCGAGGCTTGGGAGATGAGAGAAGCGATGAGAAGTGGAAACCAACTTTCCTAAATGAGAGGACGAGAGCACTCGCACGCGGGAGAGACGTGGACCTGAGGACGTTGACGTTGATTGTCAAGCCCTGTACCGGACCTGATTCCTGACCAGATGCCGATCCTGATTCTTGAAGGCGGGTGTGGAAACGCTGCTCGAGAGAGGATCCGACGGTCGGGAGACTGGAAGGGGAAACCAATTTCCTGAGTGGGAGCGCTCGCACGCGAGAGAGGAGAGTGGGCCTCAGGACATTCATCATCATCTGGGCCTCTCTCTTCTCCCCAAAGCTGTCCCGCCTGCGCTAGAGGAAGGAACCGCGTCTCTGCTGCGGACATTCAACGTCAGGGGGTGTGCTGAACATGATTCCTGACCGGTGCCGAACCTGATCCCTGACTATTGAGGAGGATTTTGGTGATGACGCCTCTCTCTCTCTCTCTCTCTCTCTCTCTCTCTCTCTCTCTCTCTCTCTCTCTCTGGGTCTCTGTCTCTGTATGTGTCTCTCTTTGTCTCCCTCTCACTCTCTCTAAGCTGTCCAGCTTGCGTGAGAGGGGGGAGGTCGCGCGTCTCCGCGGCAAGTGTGGTACTGAATTTTATTTCTATTTTTGTTGTACCCCCACCCCCCGGTTGTCCATCCTCGTTCGATGGTTAATAAGCATCATCAGTCGGCGGCTATCAGAATAGAGGGGCGAGGGGGGGGGGGGGGGGGGGGGGGGGGGGGGGGGGGGGAGGGTGATGATGAGAAGGAACTTCAATGACTCTTTTCTGCAAGTGGTATTGCCATGCAGCCATCACTATGCTAATGCGGGAAGGCAAGGCGAGCAATAGGAGGAGGACTGGGAGGAGGAATGGGCGCGAAGGAAGAAGAGGGAGAGGAAAAAAGTGGGAGAGTGAGAAGTTAAAGGAGAACCAGGAGGAGGATGGGGCCAGAAAATGACTTTTGATCATTTGTATATAAGCGATGCGCGGCGTTGTCCCGTTGTTTGATCATTCGTATATAAGCATTGTCCCTTTGTGGGACAACGCTTATATGCGAATGATCAAATGTCATTTTCTGGCCCCATCCTCCTCCTCCTAGTTCTCCTTTACCTTCTCGCTCTCACACAGAATAGAGGGGCGAGGGAGGGGGAGGGGGAAGGGNGGGGGGGGGGGGGGGGGGGGGGGGGGGGGGGGGGGGGGGTGATGATGAGAAGGAACTTCAATGACTCTTTACTGCAAGTGGTATTGCCGAGCAGCCATCACTATGCTAATGCGGGAAGGCAAGGCGAGCAATGGGAGGAGGACTGGGAGGAGGAATGGGCGCGAAGGAAGAAGAGGGAGAGGAAAAAAGTGGGAGAGTGAGAAGGTAAAGGAGAACCAGGAGGAGGAGGATGGGGCCAGAAAATGACTTTTGATCATTTGTATATAAGCGTTGCGCGGCGTTGTCCCGTTGTTTGATCATTCGTATATAAGCATTGTCCCTTTGTGGGACAACGCTCATATGCGAATGATCAAATGTCATTTTCTGGCCCCATCCTCCTCCTCCTAGTTCTCCTTTACCTTCTCGCTCTCACACCTTTTTCCTCTGCCTCTTCCTTCGCCCTACGCCTGTTCCTCCTCCCAGCCTCTTCCCATTGCTCGCCTTGCGCCGGGACAACGCCCGGACAACGCTTATATACGAATGATCAAAGGTCATTTTTTGGCCCTGTCATCCTCCTCCTGGTTCTCCTTTACCTTCTCGCTCTCACACTTTTTTCCTCTCCCTGTTCTTTCGCCCTTTTTTCCTCTCCCTCTTCCTCTTCCTTCGCCCTACACGCCCGTTCCTCCTCCCAGTCCTCTTCCCATTGCTCGCCTTGCCTTCCCCCATTAGGATAGTGCTGGCTGCGCAGCGATACCACTTGTAGTAACCAGTCATTGAAAGTCGGGACGACGAGTCAGTGAAAGTCGGGACGATCTGTAGAAGCAGGTAAGGGGGGGTTAGGAAGAGGAAGAGGAGAAGGAAGAGAGGGGAAGAGGGAGAAAATGAAGGAAGAGCAGGATGAGAAAGGGAGGGGGAGTGAAGGAGGGAGTTGAGGAGGAGGACTGGAGGCGGAGAGGAGGAGGAGGAGGAAGTAGTTGTACGAGTGTGAAAGAGGGCCTCGCCACACCACTCTCGAAATGTGAAAAAGACAAAAATTTGGCGGGTGCATCTAGCCATCTTGTAGCGGGAAGTTCATTCTCATTTTGCACATGTCGAGAGTGGTGTGGCGATGCCCAGAGTTTACCCTTGGAGCCCGATTTAGGGCTGCGTGCATTTCGGAATCGACAAGTACAGTGGACCGTGTCCCAGCGCGAGCTCAGCGATTTTGTCCGCTGCTCTCCAGTCTTGTTTCGTTGAAAACAAGGAGAGTCCAAGAAGTGTGAGCATGTCGTGCGAGCTCAAGTAGTCCTATAATTGTGAGGTTATGGGTCTCGCTCCACTACTCACCAGCTGCACAAACGACAAAGAATATGGCGGTGTATCTTCCGATATTCTAGCGGAAGATTCATTCTCCTTTTGCTCATAAATAGGGTGAGTAGTGGAGCGAGACCCTATGCCCTCGTTTTTTGTGCACGGAGGTGGGGCGGATGGGTGCTTCTGCTTGAAGCGTTCCCTCCTTGTGTAGACACGAATGATCACAGCTCTCCTGTCTCCGTAGGTACTGGCTGTCTTTTTTTTTTTTTTTTGAAAGTCAGAAGGGGTCGGAGGTTCTTTTTAT